CTGTATTCAGTCCCTTCATTGAAAATTTGAATGAGAAACATTAAACGCCAGTTTTAGAACAAAAAGCCAAGAAGAAAGACTATACCAAAAATGGAAGATGAGAACGGATTAGTATACGTCATAGAAACGTAGTTATTTCGAAAGCACAAAATGACCTACTTTATCATTCTACTTGCGCTGAATTGGCGCATACATATATGTAAGTATAGTTATACATATACACATGTGTATATATGTATACACAAAAATATAGATTTTTCTAGATAGACGTCTGCCTGCCCCTTTACCAGCATAACCGAATGCAGCTTGCATTTTTGTATGTACATTCACACACATCGCCTTTGGCCCATTTTCATTATACACTGCGCTACTAAATATACTACACACATACATACATACATACATACTTACACACACAATGCATCGTTGAAAGAGTCCTTGCGGTCATTTACGTTGCACTTGCCGAGTTCAATGATCCCGCACACCTCCTCAAAGACGCTAAACCAAAAATGCATATGAAAGAGTTGGGTATGACCATAGCGAAGAGAGTGAGAGAACTTGAAGTTAAGGTAAATCTGCAGAGATGCTGTTGTTGCATAAGTGCCTGCAATTTATGGCTGCACAACGCGGCTTTTTCGCCAGCACTGCAATACTGCATAGCAAAATGAAATAGTACTTAGATAGTGTAAGTGTAGGTGAGTGAATATGTAAAGCTTAGGTTTATATGTACATATGTATGTGAGTATAAATATATAGCTGTAGGCATTGGCAATGAGTTCATCGAACGCAAACTGGGTTAACAGTGCAACTTAGTATATGTATGTATATACCTATTTAAAATTACATTTATCAGCGTTGCGCCTATGACGATTACGAAAAACAAATCGGCGTATTTTTACATATAAGTATTTGTGTGTATTTATGTGAATGAGTGCCTGTTTATGTGTATATATGTACATATATATGTACGCATAAGTACCCAGTCGTCAATTTGAATAACGTTTATAGCAGTACTGCAAACCGCCACAAAAAATGATGCGGTTCGGTTCAGTGTTCCGAAACACTTTGAAAAAATTTGGTATTGGTACAATGTACCGGGCATTTTTTGGGACGATTTTCAATTCCGGTTTGGCATTTGAATACGAAAACGGTTCGTTTCGAAGCCCGAAAAAACCGGTTTTTTGTTCAAAAAGGGTTTTGTCGCTTAACAGGGAAAATGTTACTCATACGCCATGTGCCTACAAGTATGTATGCGTATGGCCATGTACGCTGTGGTGTATGAGTAACATTATTTCCTACACCTACATATGTATTTCATACAAAAAATTATTGCACATTTTCATTTGACCAGTTACAACTTGTTTATTCATCCATCGATTTTCATAGTTGCTAGCTTGATTTTTTTGAAAAACTTCTGTTATTTTTATAGTTTTTCCGTGTTATTTTTTTTTTAATTAAAATATCATGCGAAAATTACCTGATCTAGAAACAAGGTATACAGATCCATAATCTACGACACAATATTAGGTTCGCGTGTTTCGGCGTTTCTTTGTGTCATTTCAAAACTTGAAATTTTCCCAACAGTGTTATGGAAAAAACTGTGAAAAATCAAACGCGTAAGGCCTCATGCTTCATTTTTTTGTTAGCTAAACTCATTTATTTTATTTTTCTTCGTAAAATAGAATTTTAAAATATTCCAACGTGCAGTCACCATGGCGTATAAGCAACTAAGAAATCCATTTTTTCCTCCTAATTATTTTCCATGAAGCTTCAGTGACATTAACATTTGCAACAGAGTCGAAAAATATGGGCGAAAAAATTATTTTAAAATGTTTAAAATAGCTTATATTGAATTGTATGGTAAAATCCCTCATAGCCCTTTCTTCTCATCCCATTTACTTGTACATACATTTAACGCCATTCATGTTCATTTATCTAAATCACACATCGCCGCCATCCTCTTGAGCATGTGTATCTGCAAGTGTTTTTATGTACATATGTATATAGTATGTTTCAATGACGTCATCCGCATAGCACACCCCAAAAACAGGAATATGTATTTTACATTCACAGCCAATTTTATTTTTAACATTTCTTTTTCTGCATTCAACATCAAACAAGTTCGGGTAAATGAGCACAAGGGCATTCAAAGGGACTAATGCGAAAGCATCGAAAAGCGTATGTGTGTGTGTGTGTAACAATGGAAAGTTCTATGTGAGAAGTACATAGCGACACCTTAAATGTAAAAGGCTCTATTTAGAAAATTTCAAATTTTCCAAAGAAGCAAACAACAATTACTTTGGAAATGCGCAGCGAGCTTTTCTAAATGTGCTAACAAATTATATATATATTTTTAGATATGGCTTTAATTTTTTCGTAGCGATTTAACTTAGCACCATGTAACGGAATTTATAAAAACTGCATTTGCAAAAAAAATTTCAAAAGGCTATTTTGTTTTGGTGATGATGATATGTACTTACATAAATACGTATGTATGATTCTTAAATTTTCTTATTTTACATTGCATTTAAGTTGTTGCGGAAAAGAGTATAAATGAAAGCCGCGAAATAAAGGCTGCATTTCATTATTCAACGGAATAAACTTTTTTGTCTACTTATTCTTTAGAACGTTCCTGATGATATGTTAACGTATATTTCAAACGCAATCTGTTTATTGCGGCTGTGAAATGGGATTATCCGGAATGTATAAAGAAACGCAGCCAAAATTTTACGATCGGTTTGGGTAAGGTTTAGCCACTTAACCGCCCTTTATTTTCGCCGCTACTGAATTATATAAACTGTCAGTTTTCACACAATTTAAAATGTACATGTGTATTTAAAAATATCATGAAAATTGTGTTGCTAGCTTCATGTTGCCAACATGTTGCAGGCTTTTTCACAGCGCGAACAGAATACTATCTTGCTGAGGAAATGTCGTGGAATTTCACACTTAATTTACAGAAGAAAATTTTATATGCAATTTTACAGCTTTTTCATGTGAAACAAGTGCAGAATACTATGCTTAAAAAATAAAAATAAAAACTTGTTTTTGCTTGCAATTATGTATATTCCCAAGGCGTTCAACCTAATGGCATGTTCATAATTTTTATATATGTATGTATCTAAAACAATGGCAAACAAAACAAGATAAACCAATGTGTATGCATATAAATAGTAACTACATGCATACACACATACACGCATATTTGAAGTGCACATTAATGTAACTTTATAGAAGTCATTACAGTAAAAGTGCTAACACGAGCCCTCATAAGCACACGCCTTTTTCTCATATTCGTAAGTACAATTGCTGCACCCATACATGCGTACGGTGACCATATTTGTGCCAGCCGAATACGGGATAAAAATTTATTTTAACTAAATTCCTCGTCATTTGAATAGCACATCCCTTTAATGCTTAGTATTTACAATAATTTACTTAGTAATTTTGTTTTTTTTTTATGTAGCATACTCTACAGGAAAAATAACGTGTAAGTACGATTTTAAAATTTTACACAAATTAAGAAAACTGCCAAAAATGAACAAGTTAAGTGCCTAATGAAATGAACAAGTTAATAATAGCCGTCATCAATTCGCTGCTTGCCATGTTTCAGCTCCGGTCGCTTAACAAAAAATTTTGTTTGTCAAAGTAACAACAATGCTAGCAACGATAGCGAGTTGTGTTGCACCGCCACTCGCCACACTATTTCGAATATCACTAGCTTAGGGTGAAAAGTTGTTAAGTCCACTTTTTATGAAAACTCATATTTTAATACCACATAAATTTAAAATGCATTGTTTCGTAAAAGGATAAAGGCACTTTTTTTATTTATTCTCTTTTATATTCAATAAAAAGAAAATTTTCTAAGTCCCAAATAAGCATCGAAAATCCGATAAAGCCAAAATGATACGAAATCTTTTAATATACCTCGAATACCTCTAAATCGTACGTACGTTTTGCTTTACTTTGAACAGGCAATATATTGTATCCAAAGTTATGCCAAATACCTGAAGAAACGGGCTATAAGAAATTTGTTTCCTCTCCTGTACAATTTTTTAGTTTTGTGCCCCAATAAAAAAAATTACTGCCAGGAAAACTGTCGAATACAAGACGTCTGGTCACCGTACCCATACGACACGTGCAAAACGAAGTACCTACCTTACATTGGCAACATTAAAATTTACATACTTGCATACCTAATTGCGCATTAACATGAACGTAAAAGTACAAGTGGCTTTAGAGCCGATCAGATTCCCTGCTTGAAAGTGGCACAAGCACAGGTTTGCAACTCATTTGCGTTTAATATCGTATGAATGTGCATCACATAAAATTAAGTAGACCGACACGTGTTTACGAATCAACCGCTTAAGAACAAGTTAAGCTAATAAGTACTTTCAAATCGATGTCTTAAGCTAAGATACTTAGCTTCACTTGGCACACGTGTGGGGAATATAAATTTTTATCTTAACTAAGTAATTATTTTAAAAAATTTAAATAATACTTACGTACTTAATAGGCATATATGTATGTATGCACATCTGAAAGTAAATATGTATGTCAAATTTGTCTATGGGTCAGTCGCTCAATAGATAGATGTCATTGGCATCTGAAAGTTTCCCAAGTGTCTCTCTTTCGTTGATTGGATACATTCTCCCTCTATTCCCTTTCAGGTTAGCAACTATCAGTGCATGCCGACACACCTATGTATGTATGAATGTAAATAAATATATCTCGCTATTCCACATCAACAATTACAAATGTGGAATTCTTTATTAAAATAAGTAAATAAATAAATAACCTGTATATATGTGTATTTCC